TCTTTCAAAGAACAGGGACTGCATAAGAAAGTGTGTCTGTTTTTTTTTTTTTTTTTAGTTGCATTCCTCTTTTCTTTCAGGAGAAGTGGAGGAGGAAGAAAACAAAGATGCCTTGCCCTGTTTGGACAAATTCTTGGCCAAACACACCAGTGAGGATAATGCTTCCTTCGAGCAGATCATGGAAGTGGCCAAAGAGAAGGAGAAAGTACGGCATTCTTGGCTTTATGAAGCTGAAGAGGCATTTGCCCAGGTAAGCAGCAGCTTCTCTTTGTAGTGGTTTGGGGCTCTGGGTGGAAGGATTGCTTCTCCCTTGGTCCAAGAAACCAGTTTTTTTTTTTTTATGTTCCTCACTTTGGAAAGAAGACAGTAATGATGATTAGTGCTATGTCATTCCTCCTCAGAAGTGGAGGGTTTTAGGTTCTATTCCCCTTCAGAACGTTGGTGAGCTACAGTTTCATTCTATATAACGGGCAGCCTGTGGCCTCCTGCCCTTTGGTGCAGTTGCCAGACACCCTGCTTACACAACTGAATGCTCTGCAACTGAAAACAGGATTGACGTATTTTTTTTCCAAAGTTGAAAAAAAAAATCCATTTTGTTCCAAAACCCCAGGCGATTTTCAGTTCAACCCACATGCCCAGTAAAGCAACAAGTACGTTGCATCATTGTGCTTTGCGCGATTAAAACATTGGGCAACAAAAAGTCACGTGCAATTACCTTTGTGAAGCAAAGTAAAATCACACTGGGGTAGGAGGCCCCTGAAGATTTCCTTGCTTGACCGAATTGTGAACAGGATATACTGGCTTGAGTTCTGCAGAGGAAAAGCTGGAGATGCCTGAAATGCTAAAATATTAATTTACTCCTAGAGACACTGCAGGATCACTGGGCATACATCTTCCCTTCTGCCAATGCTTGCAGCTGACTGTGTTTTTCTATTCCATTTCAGCGGCATCAGGAACAGCTAGCTCTTCCGTCGCTGGAGGAGCAGCAGGCCCTGGGGAGTGGCAAAGCTGGGGTGGAGACGTGGGAATACAAGGCAAAGAATTCCCTCATGTATTATCCACCAGGTGAGGCAGTTGTGCTCCTTCTGACAAGGTCTGATTGCTGTAAAAAGGGAAGCTGGATAACGATAGGTTTTTTTTTCCTGCCAAGCTCACATTTGTTTCTCCTTGTTAGACTGGTACCTGCTTTTGACTTTTCTTAAAAGCAGGATTGAGGGTCAAGCACGGGGCATCATCTCTTTGTCGCTCTCCACTCCTTCGTTTTGATACTTGGTGTTTTCACATTTTGAAACGGCAAAAGAATTTTTTTCCCTTCTTTTGAATCTCTCTCCTGCAGAGACTGTTCTGTCTTATCTGCCTTGTTTCTCTCAGTCTGGGAAAAGAAGCGGGAGAGACAGGACAGGAGAAAGCAAGCTTCTTTTGATCCTTTTGCTTTGTGGGTGATTAAGGCCTCTTCGATGGGTTGAGGTTTTCTTGCTCTTTGCTAATGTCTGTGCCCTTTCTCTGGAAAAAAGAGCCAGGAATCCATGCTGAATTCCCAATTTCCAGGCTTGTCTTCTCTCCAAGGTCTAGTGCTCCAGTGTTTTCCCCATTAATTTGTAGGTTGATGTGCTTTAATTATAAAAACGTTTAGAAATCATTCTTGTGTGAGTAAAGGATGTGGGTTGACCAAAGTGGATCTTCTCTCACATCCTCTCAAGTTTTAAAACCTTTCTCAGAATTGGGAATTATGTGTTATTGTTACTGCTTTATGCAGTAATTGGGGGCATGATTAAGATGTCCTATTAAGACTGGAGAAATTGATCCTCAGTCCTGGATTTTTTTGATTCAGACTTCTACTTCACTTCTTTGAGCTGACCTCTTCTTCCTGAAGTACCCTTTTCCTTTTGAATCTAGGCATGACAAAACTGCCACCAGTCTCGTCTTTGATTGTGAGCCTTGTTGATATTAAAGCGCTGTGTCTTTTCAGGAGTCCCTGATGAGGACGATGTGTTTAAAAAGCCACGTGAGGTTGTTCACAGAAACACCCGCTTCTTGAAGGATCCGTTTAGCCAAGCAGTAAGCAAGACCCAACTTCAGCAAGCAGCAGCCCTCAACGCTCAGGTGGGAGCATAACATTTTCCGTATCCGTTTCATTTAAGACGGTCTGTTCCTATTGTGCTTGGCAAGCTGGCAAGCAAATTCAAGTGAATCAAACAAGAAACAATGGCTAGAACAGAAAGAAAGAAAGCAGAACTTCTGAACTTTCTTATTTTAGCTGGGGAAAAATGATGGTTCCTCTTCTTTAATTCCTTTTACCAAAACATGTTTTTAAAAAAACAAAAAACAGTCCAGGCCTTTTCAGCCAATGTTGCAGGATGTCATGCTGTGCTTTTAAAACACTGTGATTACAGGCAGTCCCCAGTTTAAGAATGAGCTCCGTTCCCAAGGTCCATCCTTAAGTCGAATTTGTATGTAAGCTGGAACAGTCTTATTGTGTTATATTGTATAAGTAGTGTGGTGAATGAATGAACTCAAACCATTGTGTACGTAACTGGAATCATTCTGTATTTAGCTGGAATTTGGCTACAAAAGTCTCCATTCCTAACTGTGAATCGTCCTTAAACTGGGCGTTCTTAACCCGGGGATTCCCTGCATGGCTAAGCATTATTTCTTCTCTTTAATTCTAGTACAAACAAGGCAAAGTGGGGCCTGATGGGAAGGAACTTATTCCCCAGGAATCTCCAAAGGTAAACGGATATGGATTTGTGGCTACGCCTTCCCCTGCTCCTGGTAAGAAAGAAAATCCCTTTTATTGTGTGTGTGTGTGTGTGTGTTTAAAGCAACACAAAGCAAATGTGTGGTTCAGCCAGGGCTATTTTGTTTGCTAGTGTGACTTTCCTCCGAGTTGCGGTGTGCGTGCACCATGAGAAAAATGCCGGTTTAGAAGTATTCAGATAAGGACTTAATACAGTGGGAAAAGGAGAACATAGTCAAGTTCGAAAATAAGTAGTAGTAAACTACATAAATTTATATCGTTGTCTTTTGATCCATGGTGTGCTAAATACATACATACCTAAATACAGGGTATACTTTAGAGAACCTGCGTTTAAGCTCTGGTTCTTTCTGATTGTTATTTTTCACTCTCTTTTGTATCTATATAAAAACAAATGTGTCGTTTTTAATTTTGGGGGGATTCCGTGTCTTCTGTTTTGTAAAGATGTCCCTTCCAGCTGATTCTCCTATCAGAGATCTCTCACCCCAAATATTTGAGTCAAGCGTGCTCGTGTTCAAGTGGCGAACCAGCGGTCTGCTGACCCGTCAAGTAGACTGATTTACCAATGTATCTTTCTAGGTGTGAATGACTCCCCTCTTATGACCTGGGGTGAGATAGAAAGCACCCCTTTGCGGTTAGAAGGGTCCGATACACCATATGTGGACAGGACACCGGGACCAGCCTTCAAGGTATTTAAAGCATCCAATCTGGGTCTATCCCCTCTATGCTACGTAAACAAATTGGGTGAAATAGTATCAAATGTTGTGCCAGATCCAAAAGTTGTCTCTCTCCTGATTTATCCTTCCCCGACCTAATGTCCTTTAGCCTGACCATATACGAAGGTATTTTTGCAATTGAAAGAGATTACTTCCTTGTGTAGGTGAATTTGTTACATCGAGTGAGTAGCTTAAGGTTGCCCAGTGAGTTTGTGGTTCAGCTGGGTTTGGGACTTACAGTTTTTCTCTGTTGCTGCCCCTGCCTCTGGAACGCCACCCCCAAGAGTGGCACCCACTCTCCTGGGGCTCTGGAAAGCCCTTAAAACCGGGCTGTGTTCCCAGGCCGGGGTTTAATGCGTTTATCGATGCATTGTGGGGCCATTGTGGTTTATCTTTTTCAGTTGTCTTAATCTGGGCTGGGTGGTTAAGCATGCTTAATTGTTTTTAATCCTTTTTGTTGTTCTGGATTTTGAAAGCTGCCCAAAGTCTAATAGTGGGTGACAATAACAAAATTTAATTAATAATAGTAATAATAAAAATATAATAATAATAAATTAATTACAGTCAGTGACCTTATTTACTGTAAGGCGTCTAAGCAGCCCTCAGTAATTTTAACTAGTGGCATATTTCTCTTTTTTTCCCAGTAATGTTATTAAAGATTATATAAAACAGGTAAATCTA